GCAGTTTTCAAACTCATGGCGAGTTCAGTGTGAATAACATACAGGGGGGAAAGAGTCCTAATAAGCATCTTCAGTCCCAGACATTTAAATGATCAGGCCTGTGTCTCTTCTTTATCATCCCACAGCTCCTGAAGTTCTGGCCCAGAAACCTTACAGCAAAGCCGTTGACTGCTGGTCCATCGGAGTCATCGCCTACATCTTGTAAGTATTGATTGCTGCCCGGGCTTCTCCTCCCTGGGCCACTGCCCTCTACCTTCTGTCACTATGAATTGTACTATTCTGTGGACCTCGTAGAAGTGGAATCATTCAGTATTTGTCCTTCTGTGGCTGGCTTATTTCACTTATCCTAAAGTTCTTGAGGCTCATCCATGTTGTAGCATTTTAGATTCCCTTCCTCTTTGAGGCTAATATTTGACTATATCTATCTACCGCCCTTGGTTTATCCATTTATCCATCAATGGACATTTGAGTTTCTTCTTTTTAAAAAAGTTTTTATTTGTGCTTCTGTCTTTTGACCCTTGGGAATTATGTTGTGATTATGGCTATATAAATATCTGTTCAATTCCCTGCTTTCAATTCTTTGGGGCATTATAAATCTAGAAATGGAATTGCTGGGTCATAGAATTATATGATAATATAATTATATGATAATTCTATGTCTAGCTCTCAAGGAAACCACTAGTAGTTTCTATAGCAACAGCATCTGCTTACCTTCCCACCAGCAGTGTACAAGGTTCCAATTTCTCCAGGTCCATGCCAATGCTGACACTTTCCAGTTTTTCTATTATAGCTATCCTGGTGAGTAGGAACTAGTATCTCATTTTGGTTTTGATTTCTATTTCCCCAGTAATTAATAACATTGAAAATCTTTTCATATGCCCTGTTAGTTTTTGTTGTTTTTTTTTTGGGGGGGGGGGCAGGTAGAATACCAATCACTATGAAGATAATAGGACATATTCCAAAGAAATTGCAATTAGGAAAAATCATGATGAAAATTTAGAATTTTACCTTTGGATTCCTCAATTCTTCTTAGATACCTTATCTCCATACCCAGGAAATGGAGTCCTAAATGATATACTTGTAATTATTTTAGGATTAGGTATTTGCTTCTTATCATTATATTTTGTTTTGCTGAAGTCTACCATAAAGCTATTTTTAATTGCAATTTCTTTTTGCAATTTGTACTTTCAAATGCTTACTTTGTGACAAACTTTTAGGGTGGATTTAGGCCAACTAGTTTCTGAAATTGAATAGAAATTAATCCCCCTCCTCATCATCCCCAAAGAAGGACAAACAGAGCACCCTACACACAATGAAGGACTGTAGGAGATTGGAACTGGAGAAGGTTCTGACAGTATGTAATGTCCTATTCTCCTTCTGGAATGATAGGAACAACCCCCTGCCCATTGGCCATGCCTCATTATCTGGTAAGCAAATGGTCTTTCTATAACAGCATTCCACTGGGTAGCTTTTGTAGTTTACTGTGGACTCAGGTGACGGTTCCTGTACATTCTTGCCATTATTGCAGGAGAATTTTATCTATTATGATACTTGGCCTCTAGGGCTCCCATTTATGGAAATAGATGAAGGCAGCTTCCTTTGAGCTCTAAAATTAAGATATTACGCTTCCACAGCACTTTCAAAGCATGCCGGCATCTTCTGCAGGGATTTCTTCCTTTTGTGGGTTACAGACCTTCTTGGGAATCTGATAAGTCACAAACCCTGACTCTGAATCAGATCTCATGTGCACACAGTTTGGCATGTCATTTTGGAGCGAGGGCAGGGGGGGTTTCTGTGTAAGCAGACTTGGACATTCTGTGTTATTCACCCTGGCTCCATAATTTCTCAACCAAAATTCTGATCAGAGGTCCTGCCTCTCCCAATTTCCCTGTATATGACTTAAGGAAATAGATAGGTTGGTCCCCTTCCCACCAAGGAGCAAAACTGATATTGATAGTCCAGAGAAATCTTCCCTGAAACTGGGGAGGGGGGAATAGCCCCTTTTTCTGGCCTGCAGGTTGTTTCTTTGTATCTGGTTGAACCTTGAACCACTAGTTAGGTCAGCATCCATGTCTCTAGACTCACCTTGGAGAGATACACGCATGTGCATGCACACACACACACACACACACACAATTATTTCCCTGAATTCTTGGCATTAAGGGCGAGATTTATTACAGCTATTAGAGATGCATGTTGACTGATGTTTCTTAGAATTACTGGGAGTGGAAACTTAAAACTAAGTCATGAGGTCTCCATCCTCAGGCTGTTATAACAAAGTACCATAAAGTGGTAGTTTAAACAACAGGCATTCATTTCTCACCATTCTGGGGTCTGGGAAGTCCAAGGGGACTGGGCCAGATTAGTTCCTAGTGAGCACCTTCCCCTGGGCTTGCAGACTACTGCCTTCTGGCTGTGTTCTCACGAGGCAGATAGAGCAAGTGCCAGAGTGAACTAACTGGTTCCTTTTCTAAACCAGTTACTGGCAAAGTAAATGGGATCCTCCTGATTGGCAAGTGAAGCAGTGAGAGTGGAGGAGGGAAAACCCAGAGTGAAATCACCGTTCTGCCAGCGAAGAAGCAGGCAGGGAATGGAGTGGCAGCAGGTACCTACCCATTGGCACGAAAATGTGGAAAGAGGGCCACCGTGGTCAGAGGTACCCACTGAGGAGCACGTGCACACGTGGGGTTTAGAAGACATTGAGGTGGAGGGACGGCACATGGACTTGGGTATGACTTCAACAGTGGCACCTCCACTTAAATTGTAGTATACAGTGCTATATTTTTCAGGGTTTGTGTTAGTCATCTTTGGGTTGCTATGATCAAAAAAAAAAAAAAACTGACAAAAACAATTTAGAGGAGGGAAAGTTTATTTTGGCTCACAGTTTCAGAGATTTAGCCCATCATAGGCTGACTGCATTGCTCTGGGCCTCAGGCGAGGTGGCACCTCATGGCAGAAGGGCATGAGAGAGAGAAACTGCTCAGGACAGGGCATCTGGGAAGCAGAGAAAGGGCAAGGGGCCTCGAGGAAGATGCACCCTTCCCGGGCACAGCCGCAGTGACCCGCCTCCTCTCACCATGCCCCACCTGCCTCCAATTATCACCCAGTCTGTCTGTTCAAACAAGGGGACACTGAACAGGTCACACCTCTCATAGTCTCATCCTTCTACCTCTGAATATTCCTGAATCAACACAGGAACTTTTGGGAGACATCTCATATGCAAACCATAACAGGGTTCAAGTATAGTAGTAAGCAAAGACCATATTTCTTTGTCTTTAAGTAACAACTTGATAAGTTCACTTCCTGGGCACCACCAACTTGGTCCCAGAAAAACCTTCACATCAGTTTCATGACTGTCAGGCTCCAGCATGGAAAGCTGATTTTCTTGACTCCTTGCAAAGCTCTAAGGGCCCCAAGCTGCGAGTGAATGAACTTTGGGCATCAGTTATATCCTATAAGATGCTCAGACTCCTCTGAGTGACAGGCCAAATCCTGGGTTTACTTTACTATATAACACGCTGCGCATGGAGAACCACCAATCACAAATTTAGCATCATCAATATGTTAACCGGCTTGTGAGTCCAGCGTGTCTGGCCATATACGTTACTGGTACTCTGATGAGAGGCATCTTTGCCATCTTTAGGACCTAGCACAGAGCCTGAAGCAGAGAAGGTACTCTAGAAATGCTACTTGTTGGCACTGAGAATGATTAATTTGAGGCTGGTGATCTGACATGCACAGCAAGCTGCAAGAGTTCACGGAGTTTATCCATCATGGCAGGTGGTGTTCTGGGTGGGGAGGTCTATCTAGAAGGTTGGATAAAACTCATAGAAGCTGAGAGGCAAGATGGAGCATCTGAGCAGGAGAGGGTTGCAGGCACAGGGGCAGGGGTGCTATGGCACTTGGAGGGCTCATGAAGACTTTGTGGGGCAGTGCTGTGCCTGGGGTTGGTGTTCGGCACAGAGTTGGCACCAGGTTGAACCAGAATTAAAAGGTAGAACTATGGGTCACAGTCTCAGGCTCTTGCTACTTCTCCATGCACCATGCCCAGTCTCACATTCCTATCTATTGACTGAAGGCTGTGAGCAAAATTGCTGAGCATGCCAAGACCAACAGGCAGCTCCCAGGGGAGCCCTCAATGCCCAGGGGATCACATCAAGCTCCTCATTCTTCCCCTGAACTGGAATGGAAAAGTGGTTAGCCTCTGTAGATTTTTGGAGCGCAGCACTATTATTTTCATCTGATAGGCCTGTCACACTGAGATATCAGACTGCAGCAAAAGTGGCTGAGACAGGCCCTAGCACCGATTCTTTTACCTTTCCACATTCTATGTAAACATTGCTCCCTTGGCCAGGGCAGACACAGCTAAATTGGCTCCCTCAGCCTCCACACTCATTTCTCTATTATCTGTCATTTGGAAGGAGAAATAGTTTTTCCTATCAAGGATGTGCCTTTATGAAAAATCACTGGAGGGGTCCTTATCCTGCCAGGGATCTTCCTTTGGGGATTAGGAATTGCCAAAAAAATAAAAATCTTTTCCCACATAGCTTCAGCTACTAGGAGAAATAGAGGATGCAGTGTAATGGACCCGGCTTAGCCAGAGCAGCACAAGTTCCAGAGAAATAATTTTCTATACTCAAAACTCGAATCAGCAGCTCCCAGGCCAAATTTGATTTTGTGATAACAAATAGTCTGCCTCTCTTCTCACAACCTCAAGGAGATTCTTTAATGATCATTTCCCTAAATTATGCTTGGGGCTACAACATGCTGCAGAAATGCACAGGGACTCTTGGCTGATATGAAAACAGAGTAAGATCCTAAGGAGGTTCCCACTCCCCAACTGAATCTGGCATGAAGGCAGGCTGGGCAGGCTCAAGTGGACTTGGCCATGAGACTTCTGACCTCTCTGCCTAGAAGAAACTCTAGGCAGAACACTTACAGCAATGCCCTTACTTTCTCACTGGGCTCTGAGATTGTTCACTTTTTGAAACTAGGTCACATAAATGTTGCTTTGCCCATGTAGATAGTTTCATTAGCTTCCTAAGAGTGGAGCTGGAAATGCCTAATCTGCATGCTGGGGCCATTTTCTGAGACAAAGGATGATCCTCACTAAGGCAGTCCCCATCCCTTTAAGCAGTTGACAGCTGGCTCTTTATGGAATACATATGTCCTAGGAGGAAATAAGAAAGCAAGCATCCATG